AAACCCCAACCCTTGTGAACTTTCATGTTGTCGTCCGCTTGGAGGCCAGGGCCGGGTCGCTCCGCGGCCGCCACGCCTCTCGTAGCGAAGGGGGGCCGGGGCTCGTGTTTAGGGTTTAGGGTTTAGGGTTTAGGGTTTAGGGTTTAGGGTACTCTAAGGGCTCCTGTAAGGGATCCAGAAGGATAGTTTAAGGTTGAAGGTTTAGGGTACTTCAGGGTTTGGGGTTTAGGGTTTGGGGGCTCTGTTTTATAGTTTGGGGGTGGGGGGGGGGGTGTTGTATTACGGGGTTCCATATAGGGATTTCTGTGTTGTGATTCTGTGCTTGTGCAGCTCTTGTGGTTATTATCATTGAGCGTCACAAGGCATCATGGGGTTCTCGGTTTGGAGTAGGGCTTGGGCTTAAGGGTTGTTAGTTTTTGTATTTTGGGGTCTGGTTGAGTGCTCGCAGAACAATGTGTGAGTAACAGCATCTACGTATACAGACAGGTTCTTGTGAGTGTGTATGCATGTAGGCATGTAGGTGATGCATCTGTGATACGGCTATACAAAAAAAGATTGAGGGAAGGGTAGAGAGAGAGAGAGAGAGACAGAGACAGAGACGGAGCTACAGATAGATGGACAGATGGATATATATATATATAGGCTGCTAGATAGATAGATAGATTGACCCGCTGATACACGTTTACCTTCCCTACATAGACGCATATGCAGATGTGTACAGATATGTAATAAGGACAACACTCTTCCTGAAAGTTACTCCAACAACCCGGTTCTACTCATTTAGGCCCCTCTGTGTCGGTGCGTGGTGCTCCCGCCCACCCCCCACCCCCGGGCTCCTGACCTCGATAAGGACAAGCTGAAGGCGCTGCACCTGAAGTATCCCTTGAACCGCCCCCCGAACCACAAATCCCTGTATACATCACCTCAGAAAGAATGAGGTGTCACCGCAGCCGTGGTCATCAACCGTACTTAAGTTTCTGCGATACGTGCCAGTCGGCACGAGGCCGCATCCCTGCGAAGCGGAGGCATATGAAAAGTCACTATGGGCCAGGAGAGCTTCAGGTGGACTTTGGTTTCTGTTGGCGGAACGTCCGTTTCCTCTTGATGGCGCATGACTCTTGAATGAGTCATCACTCACCAACCTAAACCCTAAACCCTAAACCCTAAACCCTAAACCCTATAAACCCTAAACCCTAAACCCTAAGTAGCAGATGAAGTTGACTTGGGTACGGAGCAGCTCAGCGGGCTTGTGGGCTCCGGCAAGGCGGGGAAGACGAAGACACGCGGCTCTGCTATCGTAACAGTACTACTCATCAGTAGTTTAGGGTTTAGGGTTTAGGGTTTAGGGTTTAGGGTTTAGGGTCCACTGCAAAGAACACAAGTAGCAAAGCTTCAACCCAAAGCTTACACCTAAAATGCTAAACCCTCAACTCCACAAAGCTCTAAGCCCTAAGCCCTAATCCCGAAACCCTAAGCCATAATCCCTAAGCCCCAAACCCTAAGCCCCAAATCCCAAACGACCCTAAACCCTAAGCCCTAAACCCAACCCTAAGCCCTAAACCCTAAGCCCTAAGCCCTAAGCCATAAACCCTAAGCCCTAAACCCCAAACCCTAAACCCTAAACCCAAAGCCCTAAGTCCTGAACCCTAAGCCCTAAACCCTAAGCCCCAAACCCGAAGTCCCAAACCCTAAGCCCCAAGCCCTAA